GAGAGGAGGCTGGGCAGCTGCAGGCGTCGCAGCTCCCTGTCGCTGATGTGCTGCAGAATAGACGACACATAACTGGATTCGCATGCGTGCTGCCTGCATGTTTCTCATTCGCAGTTACACTATAGAAACGCTTCATAGTGGGGACCAAATGCTTCGGCAAACCGATCACCTTGGAAATGCCGGAGTGCCTTCTCCGCGTGTGGGTGTCTCCGTCAGCAATGGATATCGAGAGGGGGAGGGCCCCTATGGCGAGCAGCTGGCCAAACAAAGCTGCAAAAAGACAGCAAAACACACTTGGCTAGGGTATGCATCGAGCGCGCATACGCCCGGTCTTGCATAATCGGCATCTGGACGTACACTTGGGATGAGGCCTGGACCCGACAGCGACCAGCGCGTAGCTTTCACCTCCCGCAGTCTCCATTGAATATCTGCGAAGGAATCAACTAATACCGTAATTGGCCTCTCACGTTGTGTTGAGTTGTATGGAGTTCACACAGCTGAACGCACGAAACACGCATCAAACGGCAAACGATTGAGGGGGTCTTCTTCCCTTTGCGCTCGTACGTTGCCGTCGTCTTTCCCTGTTCTACTGACGGATTCGATGCAGGCTCGCTGGACTGATGCAGTTTGGAGCAAACTGGGAGGCTCAGGAGAGGTCTATTCTGATAGCAAACACCAGGATAAAACTGCTGAGGGGACCCGAGACCACACGTTTTGCGGCAGCAGACGCAGCCGTGGCGGGACAGAGGAGCAGCTGCCGCTTTTCTGCGCGGAATAACAGGTGACAGGGGCAAGAAACACATTTAGTCAAATGCCCCTCCAGATGCCGATGGAAAACTAGTGTGTTTTGTGAATTTCGGCTCAGGCGTACTCAAGACAAGTGATCTGGTACGCTAGCTGGCGCCGACTTACGAGACCCGCTAGCCAGCTCCTTCCTCTACCCGCAACGTGGGTAGCTTCGGAATAAATAAAGATATTAAATTGTTTATGAAGTCGTGCATACGTACAGAAACCAAACCGAGAGGATGGGCGAGCAAACGGCGTGTGTTTCAAAGTGGGGTTGTTGCTGCCTACTTTTCAACGTGGCTCTGCGGCCAATCCACGTAACAAATGACCCCTCTCATCCAAATCGGAGAAATGAAAATGCGTGTTCTAGCTTTTAATTTCAAGTGAAAACGCCCAGCAAGCCATCGGGTCCCCCGTCTCCTCCTCGGGGTCACTCACAGCAGCGACCGCCTCTGCCGGCTTGGGGCTTACAATGGTCACCATGAGCGTTCCTTGGTCTAGAATAACTGCAAAGGAAGCTGCCCAAAAGCTTATAAGTGCATTTATAATTAATATGAAAAGTGTTTGAGCGAGGAAACAACCGGCGCTTTGCTCCCGCGTGCTCCTTCCCTGCGTTTCAGGGAACCATTGGTCACCCCGCATCCTACAGCTACATTCCTGCTTCCCCCGCTACAAAGAGCACAGGAACGTTATGAGCTGTTTAAGTGCCAGCTACAATTTGCAGCCTTGTAGAAGAAGTCCCGAGACACCGGAAAGCGTCTGTGTCAGTGCTCTGACTGAAGGTCAACTAGCATGTGCAGATTTTGTCTCTGATGACTTCTTTGAAACTCTGTGGAAGGGCCTAAAATCTTCCCACTTCCTAAGAAGACGTGCAACAAACCTGCCATTATTCACTGCTACCACTGCTACCGTACGCGGCCCGGCAAGCGTGTAGCCCAGCCTGCCTGGCTGCATATACACTGCATATACATCATCGCCTACAGACAGACAGAGACTCAGTCTTCATCACTGAAGTCATTATATACGGCTGATGCAAGACGTTTAAGACAAGGATTATTAGAAGATACATTTCTTCCTCTTTAAGGATCAAAGTATTTTTTTTACCCTTAAAAAAACATATCTCTCTATAGAATACATTTGGGGACCCCTTTAAAGCAGTCCCAAGAGGAAAACCCCACAGGGAAGTAGATCCAATCCCCAAATTTAAACTCTAAACAGGTAACATCGCGGGGCGCCCCACAGGGGACCGTAGAGAGGCCGCAGAGATGCCTTCGCTGGGGCCCCCACAGGGGCCCCTTGGGGAGTCCTGGCAGGCTGTCCCGGAAGAAGTACCACAGGGGGCCCTAGAGGGGCCCGCAGCGCTGTACGTCTTCCTTGAGGGCCTCGAAGTGGTCAACGACCCCTTCTATCCTGGCGTTACTGTGACCGGAACGCCTTGCCAGCTGCCGCAGCCTCTTCAGTCCCTTCAAATCTAGGTCAGCCGCCACGTCTTGCGCTCGGTGAACTGCAATGTACACACACCGGGAGCAAAAGGAGCAGCAGCAGCAACAGGAGCAGTACGAACAGCCGAAATGTGACGTATGCGTATACTGGTAAACAAACGAGACCGCTGAAGCAGCGCCAGCAGCAGCGGTTGCACCAGCAATGCCTCCCGCAGCAGCAACATAAGCAGAAGCAATTGTAGTAGTATCAAAAACAGCAACAGCGGCCACAGCAGTCTCAGCAGTGACGGGATTGCTATTGAGGGGCATACCTAGTTTGGCCCACGCCTTGCTGTCGGCAATCTGGCAACCCTCAAATGCCTCAAGGACCTTCAGCAACTGCTCTCCCTGAAACTGCGCAGCCCCCCGTTGCTGTGAAAATAGCACCAACTGATACACCAAGCGGGGATCGACGAGCTGCGATACACCACACGATCCCAGGCGCACGAACCCAGCAGTACAACCCTGTGTCTCCTGGCCTCTGTTTCATGGGGAAACGCATGCGAGGAGTCCTCTAAATATTGTAGTATTTACAAATCCGGGTCTAGCGTTTAAGGTTCAGGCTCACCTGCATGTCTGCTAGCGCCTCCGCCAAGGCAGCAACCATACTGGTGTTGGTTGTGTGGTCAAGGCGAAGCAAGCGGGTCTCCTCACACAGCACCTCGAGCAACACGTCTGTGCATGCGCTGTGCAGCAGCGCGCTGCTTCTTAGGCCATCCTTTGCAGCTGCAGCAACGGCTGCTGCTGCAGCGGGAACTGCAGCCGAGACAGAAGGAGACTCTTCGCCTGTAGGGCCCAGAGAAGGTGCTGGGGTATGCCCCACAACTCCTGCTTCTGGTACAGGCGCAGCATCAGTTGCCGCTGCTGTTGGTGGTGGTGCTGCTGCTTCGGGTGGTGGTGCAGATGGCATTGTTTCTGCTGTTGCTGGCGCATGTCCCGCTGCTTGTGTGTCACCTTGTGAATACACTTGGGCTGGCTTGAGAATGGGAAGCAGCAGAGGCAAGCAGTCGAGAGGGACAGTCTCTCTAAAGGGTAAGTAGGCGCGGTGTCTGCTGCTGCTGCTGCTGTTGCTGGGTCTCTTGTGCAGCGGCACGGAGAAGACTTTTGTGATCTTCGCGTCTCTCAATGCTGTCCAAACAGCCGTGAGGCCCTGACACACAGATCACAAGCTTCAGCACGCCTGCTAGCGACACGTCCGACACAGCTAGCCACAAGCTAGCCAGTAGGTAACCAGCAGCTAGTTCGTAGCTTGTCAGCAGCTAGTCAGCAATTAGTCAGCAGAGAGTCAGCAGCTTGCCAGCAGCTAGGCAGAAGCCAGCAAGCAGCTAGTCAGCAGATAGCGCCTATTCTGCCTTCCCCCAAATACCTGAGCAGTTAGTGGGGCGGCACCACCAAACGCCGCAGGAGTTTCCATCTCGCTGAGCGGTCCGTCCTCTTCTGGTGCTGGTACCGCTACGCTTGCTGCTGCCGGCGCAGCCGGTGCCGT